ATTGTGCTCAAAGTCACTTCTTTTTGAAGAATAACGGTGTTTTACCTTGCTCAAGCCTTTCCGAGTGCTGTTTTTCTAAAGCCTTTCCTTTTTTTTTTTTTTTTTTTTTTTGGTCCTTTTGAGACAGGGTCTCTCTATAGCCCCAGCTGCCCTGGAATGTAGACCAGGCTGGCCTTGAACTCACAGAGATCCACCAGCCTCTGCCGCCAGAGCGCTGGGATTAAAAGCATGTGCCACCATGCCCAGCTGAAGCCTTTCTTTAAGTACTGCAACCCATAGACTTTTTCCTGTAGAGTTACGAAGCAATTGTAGTTTCTACTTGTCAGTTTTAATCAAAAGACTGATGTGTGTCTGGTTGTGCTCCAGTGTACCAGTCTGGTCCGTTAAGAATATCATGCACCTCTTTAAGGCTATCTTTGCCTTTCTTGAATTCACCTTAGAGTTGAGCCTAAGTCTAGGTTCCTGGTAGTTGATGGTCAAGTCTTAAGTTTCTAGAATACTTGTTTCCCTTTCTCATACCTCACTTTTCTTCTTTTTTCTTTCTTCATCATTCTCTTCATCATTCCTTTTCTTAAAATGCTGACTCATGCTTCTCTATCTTTATTCTGTTTTCTCTTGCCTTCTCATTTTCTAACTCATTACCTTTATTTCTAAGTATAACTATCAAGTGATTTCACTAAGCTAAAACCCAACCTAATCATTATTTCTAACATTTTCTTTTAGTCATAGTTGTAAGTTTGTGGAAGTATATGGAGTATTTATAGAATACAGTTCAAGAATATGCTTTATATCAGTGTATAAATGCTATAGCTAAAAATTTTTGACTTAATTAAAAAAGCAGTAAAAAACTATACTTCACCTTGCTAAAATTAAGGCAAATGAGATTGAGTTTCTTTTTTATCAGTGCATTCAGTTAATCAAAAATTTTCCAATTATTAAAAGTTTGTGGGCCTAAACTTCAAGGTGACCTAAACTTCAAAGTTCTGCTATTAAGGTTATATATGCTTTTGTATTGAAATAATAGATTATGTTGATACAATTATATAGTATTGGTTGCTTCAAGACTACTTGATATGCAAAGTAGTATCAACAGAATAATAACTAAGTATTTTGACCATTTTTCAAACGTAGAGAGAAAATACTGAATTCAGAAGGCCCCCAAATATTAAAATGGCAAACTAATCTTTAAATGCTTAACAATTTGTTGCTAATAAAATGGCTAGGCCAGCAAGGAATGTAAGTCTTAAGTATTCATCTTAGCTACTGACTTTTTGAACTGTGTATTTTCTGGTACTACCCTTTAAATATAATCTTCTTTATTTTAGCAAGATGAGTATCACATGGTTCATCTAGTATGTACTTCTCGGAGTCCTCCCAGTTCTCCAAAATCCAGCACCAATAGAGAAAGTCATGAAGCATTGGCATCCAACACCAATTCTGTGAGTTGTTTTGAGAGGAATAAATGTTGAAGTTTTCTCATTCTCTTTTTCTGCCTTTAAAGACTAAACTGAAGGCTGGGGGTATAGCTCCTTCATACAGTACTTGACTAGCATACATAAGGCCTTGGGTTCAATTCTTAGCACTGGAACAAACATGCAAACAAACTAAATAAATGGAAAACAGAACAGTTGGACTTTGTTAATTTGGATATGGAGGGAGGGGTGTATGTGTGTGTGTGTGCGTGTGTGTGTGTGTGTGTGTGTGTGTGTGTGTGTATGTGTGTGTATTTGTCATTGCTGTTTGGTATTTTTACAACCCAGACTGCCTTGAACTTACTGTGTAGCTCAGGATGGCCTTGAATGTCTGATCCTCTTGCCTCTCTTTCCCAAATGCTGGGATCACAGCCTATACTACCAGTCCAGTGAGATTGTTTTGGACAATGATAATATGACGTTTAAAGTTTGTTTTTAGTGTTACTTTACTTTGAAGCCTGTTCACCATGCACTGTAATTTACTGAATGGCAGGTCAGCAATAGAACCAATCTCCACAGATTTAATTTCTTTTTTTTTAAGACAATATCAGGTCTCAAAAACAAGGTAAGGAGCAATGATCATTCGGTCAAAGAAAATGTTTTATTTTTGTTTATTTTTTAAAACTATTTCATTATTTGAGTGTATTGTGTATTGCCTACATGTATGTGAGTGCACCCATGTCATGCAATGCCACAGAGGTCAGAAGAGGGCGTCGAATTCCCCTGGAACGGAGTTAAGGATGGTTTATAGCCACCATGTGGGTACTGGGAATCGAACCTGGGTCCTCTGCAAGAGCAGTCAGTGCTCTTAATCACTGAGCCATCTTTCCAGCCCCCACAGATTTAATTTCTAAAATACCCTGGATGTGAGTGCACCCATGTCATGCAATGCCACAGAGGTCAGAAGAGGGCGTCGAATTCCCCTGGAACGGAGTTAAGGATGGTTTATAGCCACCATGTGGGTACTGGGAATCGAACCTGGGTCCTCTGCAAGAGCAGTCAGTGCTCTTAATCACTGAGCCATCTTTCCAGCCCCCACAGATTTAATTTCTAAAATACCCTGGAAACAGAATTACGTTGTGGTTATACAATATAGAACTTCAGACTAGTAAAGTATTAAGGTATTGATAGCCAGGGTTGGTGGCTTACACTTTTAATCCCAGCACTTGGGAGGCAGAGGTAGGAAGATCTCTGTGAGATTGAGGCCAGCCTGGTCCACATAGAGCCCAGGTCAGCTGGGGCTACAGAGAGACTCGGTCCCAAAAAGTCAGGTTAAGGTAGTGAATATAGTATTGTTTATTCAGGGTACAGTAAATTATTTAAATCTAAGTGCTCTAAATTTTCTTGAGGTAGATTACTTGGTCAAAGACTTTGTTTTTTGTTTTTGCTTTACTTTCCTCCCTCCCTTTCTCCCCCTCTCTC